TCTCGGGAGATGGAGGCAGCGACCCAACTGGAGAAGACTCAGACACCGCGAGCAACACGGCTGGAGCCCGACTTTCCTAGAGAAGCTCCTGGAACCGCCCCCGACACCGACTATTCCAGCAACGAGTCCAGCTACGGCTGTGGATGGCGAGCTGCCTGCACACCTCAGGACACTGACACGGAAGCAGGCAGCTACAGAGCTGCAGTACTCCCCGGAGTGTAAGTTCTTGCAGGATCGGTTGCAGGCCTCTCCTGTGAACGCGGACCTGACGCTACCAGTTGAAGATCGGGAGAAGCGCGTGGGATACCCGATTCGGCTACTGAGTGAGAGGTCTCGTGCGGAGATCCTCAGCATGCACTCAGTATCAGTGCACGGACTCAGCACTGATACTGAAGAAGGACGTGGCAGCAGTCTCATGAACTATGGTAACTATGCCTTGGCTCCGATAGTACAGCAAATCGTCAAAGGCTGGCAAGTACCTCAAGACCCGTGTGTCAGAGAAGAAGCTCGGAGTGCGTGCCTTCGTCTCCAAGAGACATGCAAGTTGCCAGCTCGTGAGATCATCATGGCCTTTTCTTGACTAATAGTTATGCTCCTCCGTAACGTGCGCACTGTGCGGCAAGCGCTTGGAAAAAGAAGTGGCCATGTTGTTATGTGACGCTTCGGAATAGTGTCTTTCACCTGGTCAATTGTGTCATGGGATGGGTCTTCCCAAGCTCAGGCTTACAAACCGATGCTAGTGTCCACGCCGACTTTGCAGGTGCCGCACACTGCGACCTGTCGCAGTCAGGCCCTGGCCTCTGCAGAGCCAATCCTCAAAAGAGACCGCTGTTACAGCAAGCTTGGGGCTCGGGAGGCGCCAGTGTGGCGGCGCTCCTGCAGCAGGCCTTTACAGTCTCCACCGACGTCACTAAGTTTGCTCGGGGTTCGACTGGGACGAAGGGCGACTCGGTGCACTTGGCCTGGCTCGGCGAGAGCCGGGTTCTGGTCGCGACCATTGCTGGGCAGAAGAGCCCTCAGAACGCCCGCAGCGAGAGAGCACAAGTCTCAGCCAGAGCCTGCTGGCAGAAGGTTCAGCCGCTTGGATCTCCTGAGCCCCACACATCTGCAGCCGGACGGGCTCCTGCTGTCGCGTGCTTTCGGGCACTCGGCAACTGGGCCAAAAGTATGTCATGAGCACGCTTGAACTTGGTGACGTGCTGTTGAGCCTGAGGCCAGCAATTCTACAAGGCCCGACTTGGCCAAGACCTCCTTCGACTCCACCCCCGGCCTTGTGCTGTCGAAGGGCCCAGCTTTCTCAGCCAAAAAAACGCTAAGCTAACCTCACTACCTCGCTGCCTCGCTGGGGGCTCGTCCCGAGGCTTGGCTCGGGATCGCTCTTTGAGTCCATGTCCGGAGAGGCACCGACGGGCCGTGGGGACGCGCCCCCCCCCTCCTTCGCTTCGCTGCCCGGTTCTGGCTCAGGACGCAGTGGAAGTCTTGCAGGAGACTCCTCTCACCGCAGCTGTGGCAGGCTCTGACATGCAGTGGCAAGCTAGGCCGCTAATCAGTGAGTTGCATGCTGTTTCGGCAGAGCTGGAGGCACGGCCTTGAACAAGCTGTGCGACAAGTGGCAACAGACCTGGGACGGGAAGAAGAGCCTTCTCTGCTTTCTGCTGTTGCTCGACCGCAGCCAGTCAAGCTAGAGAGGAATCCCCTTCTGTGATAGAAGTCTGCATGAAGTCTCATAAGGCAGCTGAGAGCCCCAGCTAGCAGATCCGCCCAGGATCTGGCCGGGGGAAGAGACTCGCCGCGTAGCTCAGAGCTCGAGAGCTTCACAAGAAACAAGACGACAAGACGATGCGAAGGCGCTGAGTCTCCAAAGTCTCCGTCGCCGATGTCTCCTTCAAGGCCAGGAGACCCGCACCTTTCTGGTGTTCCTCGAAGATGTTCACTCAAGGTCTGCCCAAGCTGCGCTCCTAGCCGGCAAAGCACGCGGCCGGGCTGCAGATCTGACTTGGCCCTTGGCGCATCGCCCTTTTGCGAGTTTTGCTTCAAACCTTTTCCACGTTTCAAGGCTACTTGCAGGCAAAGCCGGAGAGCGGAGCAGTGGGGCAGGCTGAAATGCTCCTGACGAAAGTGTTCAAAGCAACAGCGATCAATTGTTCGACCGTTTGGCGAGGCCTGCCCTGAAGCACCGACTCCTCCACAACCTGCTTCGCCCAAGGCAGCATCTGATCGCATTTTAATGCATGCTTTGATGACGGAGCGCGTGCTGAGGCTGAACCCTACCATTGCCCCAACTGTGGGACCCTGAACCCGGCAACTGCGCGGTTCTGCAAGAACTGCGGCCACAAGCGGCCAGAGGCGGGATCTCCGAAGGAAAGAGCGGCGCGGGAGCGGTGGGAGAACCGTCAGAACCTTGGAGCGCAGGCGACGTTGCTGACGACGCCGGCGCCAGCGGGAGTTCCAACAGCCGCGGCCAAGCCTCCCACGGATTCACCCAGCAGCCGAGCGCCGGAGCCTTCCAGGACGGTGTGGGTTCGAGTGGGCAGTGGGCACAGCAGCACCAGCCTCAAAACACCACCTAACTTCCGGGCGTGCTGCGAAGATTGCAGATGCAAGAAGCAGCAACCGCAAGCATTCGAGGCCGAAGCAAGGATGGTGCGCAAGCCGTTGCAAAACAGCAGAGCGGATGGAGACTGGCAAAGCGCATGACATGGCATATCGCCAGCAGGTTCACTGCATCTGCAACCGCGGGATCCACGCGACAATTCTTCAGAGACTCCCGGACCGCAGACACACTTGGAGACGGCCGCATGCAGTGTAAGCACCAGCTACCTAGTTTGTTTCTCTTCTCTTGGCTTACCTGACAGGCGTCCGCATATGGTGTGCTCAACGGTTGTACACAGTGCCCAATACTCTAGGAATTGTCGCCAGACCTTGAGCTCTGTGCCTTTATGCCAACACTTTGCATGCGCATTCGCCAGACCTGCCTGAAACGGTCCATGTGGTACAGGGGCCCGGGGGAGTCGTGTTTCCTCTGTCCTCTACGCGCAACCACGGACTGCGCCAAGAGTATCACCGGGAAGCGTGCTTGGCAAAGAGTCACAGACGACTGCCACTTCCAGTCGTTGTCCAAAACCGTTCTGCAACGCTATTGCAGAAGCAGAAACAGGCAGCACTCCGCCCCAGCAAATTGGGACGTTGTCATGCTGTTCCGAGTGTCTACAGTGAAGGAGGCGAGGCACATGTATCGCCTCTTCCATCCTAAGAGGCCCTGCACTCCTCGCAGGATCGCGGGCATCGGCATCGGGCGGCAAAGTGAGGCGATCAGCGGCCCTCGGATTCCGAGCCCACCCTTTGCTCCAGCGGCCTGGCTCAACCAGGAGCCCTTCTTTTCCAAGGGAGCTTCGTTGAAAAAGAGGTAAGAGGGGTCGAGGGAGGGCTCTCTGAATGTTTTAGGGTCAGCAAGGCTTCTTCCTTCGCTGCAGTGGACTTACGACTCACTTCTCAGGCATCAACCGCACTCCCACCTTGAGCAGCTTGGGTTAGACGGTTAGGCTTCCTGACAGCTCCAGACAGCAGGAGAGCGCGCTCGACACCATTAGTTCTGCTGCTTATAGGGGATATTATTTGGTTTTCTGGTTGATGTCAAGGCTCTAGATTAAGGTTCAATTTGAGCACCCAGGCAGTGCCGGCTCCCAGCTTGGCCGCCGTGGCTTCAAAGCGCTTGGATGCAGCTCAGAGGCCCCCGGAGCTCCGCGAAAAGTCTCCGTCCCCTGATGTTTGCATTCTGCTCTCCGTCCTCACCTCCACATCCTCTCCGCTTCTTCACTCCCTTCAGTCCGAAGTTCTATCTCTCACCTATCCCTCGACCCAATCCCTTGTCGCATGTGTCTCCCGGCAAGTGTTCCGCTGCGGAGTTCTCCGAGAAACTGGCCCCTGACACTAGCTTGATTTCGCAAAGAGGAAACTGGGAGCCAACAGAATCCCGACCTTTGCCAGTTCACCTGGCAAACACATGGCACGGCGTACTAGCTGCGCTTTCCACTGTTCCACAGGGTCGGCAGCAACGCGCAAGCACAGCTGCTGGGCCAGGGTTGTGAGGTAGTCGCCAGAAAGTGAAACGTCTGTCCAGGTACGCATTGGCAGCCGGCGGCATTCGAACGCCACAGTTTGCCCCTGCTCCTTGGCAGTCGCAGGCTTTCAGGTTTCTGTTCACGCAGTATCGCTGGATGCGTAGGGCAGCTGCGAGTAAGGTCCGCCCGAATCAGGGCCTCAAAAATGGATGAGTGAACTTCTGGACGACGAGGGCGTGAAGGGCAAGTGCAGCAGAATTCAGCACGCAACGGACCGAGCCATCTAGGTGAGGCCTTTCGGCGCGACCCCCAAGCGTAAGGTGCAAGGTTCGGAGGCTCATCAAGTGGCCGTCGACGCGCTTGCGAGATGCAGGTAATGGCAGCTTTCCTAAGTTGGCATAGATTGGTCAGCTAGGTAGCTAGACGCAGCTACAACCTGCTCTTGTGCATGTTGCCAAAGATGCGCAGAAGCGCCGGCACCGGGGTCTTCAACGTGGCTGAACCGGCTGAACCCGCAATGCGGCGCTTGCATGGAAAAGGACACTGCCGACTCTTTGTCAGAAGCATGTCTGATCAAATTCACTCTTGCCTGGATCCCCGACGTGGCAGCTTGAGCATGATGTTCAGCGAGACGGCTGTCACTGACACTCTCCCCTTTTCAGCCGGCTGCAGCGCGAGCGGCTCCGTGGGGTTCACGGCTCGGCCGGAGCCGGAGGGCAGCTCGGGGCTCAGCCGTCGAAAGCGGAGATGTTTTCGGGGCTCCGTACGGGGCGCTGTGTAGCAGCGCTGCGCTGGAGGAGAAGACAATTCAGATGCGGCTCGCGGCGGAGTCGCAGCTTCCCGGGCACGGGGAGCCGAGCTCTGCGCCGAAGCCAGGCCCGGCCCAACGCCCGGTAACGGCCAAAAGAAACCGGCCCCCAAAACGTGTTCTTAAAACCCTCATGAAGTTCAAAGAGTGAGGTCTCGATGAGACGGAAGCCCGGTGCGAGGGCAGCTTCCGGTGGCCCAGCCCTCATTCTGCCTTCTTTTTGGGCGTTGAGCAAAAGCAGTGGCAGCTCGGAGGCTGGACGAAGTGCTGGAGACCAACTTCGGCCGGGCCGTTGCCGGCATGGTGGCGCTGTGGGTCCTAGGCACCGGAGGGGGCCCGCTTCGAATCGCGCCCTCCTCGCAGCTCCTCGCATGTACGTGTTTGTGTTGATCCCACCACAACAGGCTGGACCCTGATGCAGATGAACATGTGGCGAGAGCCCCTCGGAAGCGCTTCGTTTCTTACCAGTTCGCAGGTGGCTCTTTTATGTAGGGCTATGTATAGAGGGCTCATCTCGCAGTTGTAGTGCAGTGCCAGAGCACGATCCTGCGACTGGGAGCTACAGCTCCAGTCCTTCGTGCAGTTGTAGCAGATTGTAGCACAGTATACGGGGGGAGCAGGGAGCAGGAAAAAAGCCGTCCACAACAAGAGACCGGACTGCACAGGCTGGGATTTGCTGGGATTCGCTCAGCCGAGGCTGACCCCCGTGTACCGGGAGACCTCTTGCGGCCGGCAAGAGTCCACGCTGAACGAGTTCAGGGCGGAGAGCTTATCTCAAGCAACAGCAGACGCCTTGCGACTCGCCGAGCTCGGATCCCGAGTTGGGCGTCGATGAGATCTACGTGGACCTGCAGATCAGCGTGCCGGGGACCTCTGGCCTGCGGAGGAAGCTGCAGGGGCAGCATGGCACTTGCGGTGAAGGCACTGCCAGAACCCGAATGCTTACAAGATCGACATCCTGGACTCCGAGTCGGAGTCCCCAAAAACTGACACACAGACGCACACACACCAAAAACACATCTAAAGCGGCCCTTACAAGTACGGCATCTTCTGCCCAGGCCGGGCATCGTCCAGATCGTCGCGGGAGCCTCCGCCTCGGAGCGAAGAGCCACGCGGGAAGCTGCAGGGGCCCGGCCCTGGAGCGTTGAGCTTTGGGGTATTTATTAATTATACTATAGCTTACTCTCGTTGCAATGTATTTACCCCCCAAAATACGATAGGTGATTAGTAAGTTTTGCTGTCGCTGCAGGGCCGGCCGCAGGACAGGATTGCCTCGCTCTCGGCTCCTCCTTCCTGCGCAGAGGGCGCAAGCGCGGGCTTTGCCGCGCATTAGCAGAGAGCAGAGAGCGCCGAGGACGTGGGCCGGCTCAAGGTAAAGCCCGGATCCAGCTTGTCTCGCTACGGGAAGGGGCTCCGCCGGCCTGGTCTCTTCCTTTTAGGGACCTTCCCCTTGGAGGCTCTTGGAGGGCCACTCTCCCCTTTGTCGCCAGGAAGGTCTTGGTGGACATGAACGCCACGATCCAGAAAAACATCAGTGAACGGCTTCTTCCGGTCTTCCTGAATGTCTGGATCTCAGCAGCCGACTGTCTCGACTGCGTGGTGCATGTGGTGCCGACGTCGGAGGCCCAGGAGATTCCCATCCTCATGCAGTTGCGATTTCAAGTGGGGGCCTGGTCCTCAGTTCACAAGCCGGTCAGGAAGGCGGCACTGAAACTGCAGCCTTGCTTCCAGAAATAGGCTTTCCGTTCCCGTTCGTGCTAAGATACGGCTCTTCTTCGGCTTGGGCGGCAGCTGGCAAGCCAGGGCACCCTTCAACAAGGCGAGGGAGCAGGCAGAGTGCAAGGCTTACACGAAGCCGCTTTGCAAGGCCTGCGGCCTGCAAATGATGGGAGTTCTGGTGAACTCCTTCCAGCAGGAGAGAAATCACAACCCACTGATCTGCGCAATCCTCCGGGCCTTTCCAGGACAAAGATCGCAGCCGCTTGGGGCCGCTGGTTTGCGTCGGCCTCGGACGTGCGTGGTAGGCTTCGAGAATTTCTTCTTGACTGTAGGCGACCTCTAAGAATCCCTAGCCGGAGTCGCCGCCTTGCCTGGTGGCCGCCCTGATGCCCCAGGCAAAGACACCTGGGATGAACTCCTCCGGCCCGGAACCATCCCTGCGGCCACAGAGGCTCAGGGGGGGTTTCTTCCTGTCCAGTACCGCGAGCAACTGCCGCAAAAGCAGCGTCAGAAGAGCATGTAGCCCTGGTCACGCTAAGAAGATGTGCAGGCACGGGCCGTCGATCGCATGGACTTCGCAGCGGCACAGGTAGCCCCTTGGGAGGCAAGCGGCACAGGGCACAGGATGCAAGGTTCTTCAATCTCGATCTATCTCTCTCTCTCTCTCTCTCTCTCTCTGTCTCTGGTTCTCTATCTAAGTCGATTATATCTTTATCTACTTGTCTATCTATCTATCAGTCTATCGATTTACCCATCTATCCATATGTCTATCTACCTGTCTATCTATTTATTCATCTATCTATCTATCTGACTATCTGGATCTATCTATCTGAATCTATCCACTGTATCTATCTATCTATCCATCTATGTATGTATGTATGTATTATGTATGTGTGAGTGTGTGTGTGTGTGTATATATATATACAAACATAAGGGTGTTCAATTGAAATCATCGCGGAATCTTCTTAAAGACACTTTAACTACGGATCTTAATTATTAGTGTAAAAATGTGGTGGCTTAAATAATCAGAATAATCAAAAATGAAAAAAATTAGGTCCTGTTTTCATTATTTGATTGCCTTGGACCCTCAATTTTGAAAATAGGTCAAAGGGACCGAATTTAATCGTTTTGGTTATTTGGCTACTTTAAGTATTAACATCAATGATAAACCTTGGTAAAGAATACCTAGGACCAGGATTTTACGTAGATTTGATTTAACTGTTTACACCACCACATTTCGCAGACGTGCCAAGTGAGTGACAAAAAACCACCACATTTCTCAAATAATTAAAACAATGAAAATCCGTAGTCAAAGTATCTTGAAGAAGAATCCGCAAGGATTCAAATGATCAAAAAAATAGAGGATAATCAAAGTTCGTAGTTAAAGTATTGTTGAGAAGAATCCGCGAAGATTTACATAATCAAAATAATTGAACGAGTACATAGGCCCGAGTTTAAATGTCTTAATAATTAACATACTTAAACGGACCGAAGTTGATTATTGTATATTTATTTTGAGTGTACGATAATAGAATGTGAATGAAAAAATGTAGTGTAGAATACAATTCTCGAGAATATTGTTATAACCTAGAAGATTCTAACAGAGTAGATGATAGCATACTACACTGCAAAGTACAAAATATAAGTTGTATAGTACATATTGGAATATATTGTCAACTTTTTTGTAGAATAATGTATGGTACTATCTGATATGATCTGTGATATGATAATATAGACACACACACACATATTATATACATATATATATACCCACGTCTGAATGTGTGTATATCTAGATATATATATATATACATATATATATACATATATATATATATTGATTGTGCGTGTGTGTCACTATGTATACCTCTTCCTTTTGCAGGTGCAAACTGGCGAGTTGGCCTGGTGCTCAGCTGGCTCAACTCATGGCTGTTGAATTTCGCCTCGCAGCCTTTGTACTTCTACGAGGCAAAAAACGTCAGCTTCAGCATCCTGGTTGTGTGCTCGTGCCTGATGGCCAGCATCTTCATGCTGATGCCTCGGGAACATGCCGAGCGATGTGAAGAGCATTGAACAGCGCTGTTCCGCCGGACGCGAAAGCCAGGTGGATTTCGAGATACGGGAAGGTTCCGGAGGAGTTGAGGACGCTGCGAGTGAAAGCGATGCACATGGCGCTGTCCACGTTGGCGGGGAGCAGCATGCAGCCCAGCGTACCAGGCCGGTGACTCCTCAATCCACACAAGACATCAGCACCGGTCAGCACCGGCCTTGTCTGCGTCAGGAACTGCGCCTTCCCTGGCCAAGTCCAAATCCAGTCCACAGCCGCTCGGATTCGAGGGTCCTTCCACCGAAACCGCAGAACGGCTGAAATCATGGCCGTCCATCTTTCTGGGGAAAAGATCTCGGATGTCAATTCTGTACTTTCCCGTGTTCTGGAAAGTCTCTGCCCAGGTACCCCTCCGATGTGGGCAGCCTTTCCCAGTCTGCCAGGGGCTCCGGGAAGTGCAGAAAGCCTGTGGCCGTGGCTAGTGGCGGCTAGTGGGTTGGGACCTGTTGGTGCAGGTGGATCCGGCTCCCCTTGTGCAGGTGAGGGCCTCCGAGTTTTTCCACGTCAGAAGAAAGCAAGCAAAGCATTTTCAGCAAGAAAAAGAAGCAGTTAAGAACGAGAAGCGCGGAGCGGCCAGGTTCCCGAGGAGGACCCGGAGGAAAGAGACGACGCAGAGTCTTGGACCCGTCCCAGCCACCAAAGGGACCTGGGCCGCCAGAGGGCCAAGACGGAGGCCGGAAGCTCTGCGATGAGCTCTGCGTAGCTTTGCCCGCCTCTTTGGCAGAACATCATCGCCGAGATGAAGGCTCTAGGCACCTCTGGCGCTGGCCCTTCTGGCGACTCCTCCAGCTCAAGAGGATTGGCCTTCCGCGCCACTTGGACCCAAAAACATCTCGTACCGTAGCCGCTGCGCTAGCCGCTGCGTCCCTTTCTCTCTGTGCCTCTCGCTTCGCCTCACTTCGCCTCACTTCGCCTTCTCGAGGACTCGTCCTTGGAGAGGTGCGTGCGCGGAGGGCTCTTTTTGGTTCGGCGCTGTGGCGGGGTTTCGTTTTTTGCTTGCCAGGCCGAGATCCTTGTCCAAAGGGTTGATGCCTCCCGTCGGCGGCCCAGTCGACAACAACGCGGTCTCGCTGTGCTCGCTTCTCTGTTCCTCTCAGGATCGCCAAAACTCGCCAGGCTCCCAGTGAAAGGGCCATCCTCCTTGGACGCTAAGGAGTGAAGGTCGGTGTCACGAATCATCTCTTAAGTCCACGGATCCAGGGGACAATAGCGAATACTCCAGCAAGGGTCTTCCAAAAAAAAGCTTGAGCTTGGGGGGGAGCAGAGCCATAGGCCGGAGGGCACTAAGCTCCCGGACCGAGGATGGCCTCCTCGGAGGTTCCAAGGGGACGTCAGAGCAGCCAGTCTCCCGGTAAGCGCCGGAGTCGAATTCGCGAGAGCCCCAGGGTCCCCCGCCCCGGACAAAGCGCAGCAGAGAGAAAGAGCGCCCCAAAACCCGAAGTCCCCCCTATAAGAAGCCCTTCAGGTGCAGATGAGCGCAAGGGAAGCGACATGGGCTCCCTGGACGGCCTTTCTCGTGCCCCTTGGAACGCACCAGATCTGTTCTGTTGCTCTGAGTTTCACATTTGCCCAAAAAAGTTGAGGCCACTTCGCGTCGTTCCGGGCAGGCATGGAATCAAGGATTTTCCGGCGCCGCTGGGCGCTGCGTTCTTCACATTTTATGGAGTTGCCAGATGGGACGAAGCAGTTCGCCGCGACGACGGGGCGAAAGCGACTTGGGGAGCGACAAGCCGGAAGCTTAGGCTGAGGAAAGGACCTTTTCTGACACGGAGCCTGAAGTCGCTGTATTTTTGAGGATGAAGTCTCGCTCGCCATCAGCGTCCGGAGCACAGAGCCGCGACAGCAGAGTTTTGCAACCTCCGTGCCGTGTGAGGTTGCGGAAGTCGTCGCCTGCTTACGATACAGAAATGGACCAGATGGAGGAGGGCACGCGGACGCCGCCGGACCCCTGAGCAGAAGCCATGGCCGGAGCGGTCACTGCACGAATTCACTGCCCCCTCTCTTGGGGGGGCGTATAGAGCCATTTGCCATGGCCGCCATGGTCATCTTTGCTGCAGGCGGTGAAGTTCCCAGGGCGGGTGCCGGTCCTCCCAGCCTCCGACCAAACATCTCGCCACCCCCCCCCCCTTCCGCCAGAAGGAGGAAGATGGGCAAAAACAGCTTCAGCCCATTTCTCGAGCTGGAATGGGCCGAGCACCAGGCACTTTCACCCCACCCTCCCGTGCACGATGCATCCCTCGTGAACTCTTTTGACTCCAGGGACCGACGGCAGCATGTCGGAACTGCTCTGACGGTTTCACATGGCTTTGGGGTTGAGGAGCTTTACTCTCTGGAACCCGTCAAAGCACAAACCTGAGAGGTCTTATGCTTATTGAGCGTTTTCGTCTTGAGGGGATGCTTCTGTCGCGGTTCACCGTGCACAACATACGCTCTGCCAGCCCAAGTGCCGGAAGGCATGTTGGGAGGGCAATTTCCCGTCAGAGCGACGAAGTAGCAGGGAGTGGTGAGCCAGTTCGGAGCAAGACTCGATTCGGTTTGTTGCTGAGGACAACTATGCTGAATCGACGGAGGTACGTACGGCTAATGAATCACAAAAGCAGGTCGCTTGTGCTCAACATCTGCGAATTCGTAGAAACAGTACACACAACAGAAATAAGCCGGTTTCTTTCAGGTTTTGAGTTGATCTCGTCTTTCGAATAAGAATCCATCGCAACAGCAGAACAGCTGGAAGCCGTGACGGCGTAGAGACAATGCGAGGTTTTTTTAGAAGCTGATGGGGCCTGAAGATCCTGACACAGTCCTGCTGTCAGAATGCCAAACCCCTTTTGGTTTTTGAATTTCGGTGTCATCATCCCCCAAGTTTCATGACGAATTTGGTCTGATTTTTTGTTTTTTTCTGGCGCCCTTCGGCCTCAGAGGCTGCGCGCGGATGCAGCAAGAGCGCTCACAAACATCAACGAGCTAAAATACAGAGCTGGAGTCTCCACAGCTCGCAAACCCGAAGACTCAAAGATCTACCGCAAAGCCAAATCCAATCGCTCTCGGCGACTGCTAAGGGGCCGTCGACGGACGGCCCCTGATCGCTTGCCTCTCGAACGTCGCGCATGTAGCAGGACATGACACCTGGACATCCACTTTGTTTCTGGAACTTCCGCGGGGCGCGCTCTTCGATTCATTGGCTTTCCCAGAACATGTCAAACGAGCATGGGACAGAGTATTTTCAGAGAGAGAGAAGAGAGAGGGTGACCGCAAGAAGGAGACGCAAGCAAGAGCCATGCCATGTCCGTCGAGAGCATACCGTATGGGCAGCATGATTGTCGTATTCATGGCATGTAGTTCTGGGTTTATGGCAGCACTCATCACCTCTATTCCATCCGTAAGTCCGGTGCAACGAGTTTCGCGGGCGCGCAGCCTGCAACGACAGCTGCCCGGCAGCCAGGGTTACTTATGTGTTGGCGTGCTTGCCATTCATTGCCAGTCATTCAAGCATGACGTAGGGGCTGGGGCCATTTGCACAAGAACTGCGAGACATCTTTTGTCACGGTGCTGCTGGGCAAATTCAGCTTATTGCAGAGTTTCCTGGAAAGCAGTGGGCAGAGGACCAAAAGACCAAGGTGTGTTTGCCGTTTCGGGCTTCTCGTCAGCCAGTCAATTCTGCGCTTGTTGCTTTGTCACTCCACCCACTCCACTTGACTTGAGACCGGCCGCTTCCGTTCTCCCCTTTCGCAGCGGCTGCAGTACGGTGAAGATGCACAGAGACCCGGGGGTCTGATAGGCGAGCCCATAGTAGCGGCATCCGTATTGTCGCATGCCCGATGCCACTCACAGTCACAGCACCTGAAGAGCCAGGGTTCGAAGTCGGAAGAAGAGAGGCTTGCGTTCTGGACGGTTTCTTTGGCGGCCCTGTCCGCGCGCGCGCGGGCGCCCGCCCCCGGTTGCATCCTCACAGCTAGGCGGAGAGCGCCGAGGCCTCAGAGGCAGGCAGAGGCAGAGGGCAGAACAAAAAAGAGGAAAAGAGGCGTCCCGTCCTTTGTACGCCTTGGAAGTGGAACAGAGGCCCGATCTCTTTCAGGGATGGACAAGCAAAGAAGGAGCCAGGACCTCGGGGACCTCAGCCAAGGCCACTTCCAAGCGAACACCTGGCCCAGGTCGATCCAGATCGCGCGGAGGCCCACGGAAGACCGGGAAGTGTTTTCGAGAGTCTCCGAAGTCACAAGCCACCGTCTGACCAGCAGGCCGCAGTAGGCCCACCTGTGTTTTTCCTTGCCCCCGTACACTCGCCCATGAAGTGCTTTTCTGCTCGAAGGAAAGTAGCACTCTAGTGCTTTGCCCTTGGCTGTTTCAGAACTGCCACCAGAAGTTTTCTTATGGGAAGGTGGCGGAGTGCTCGACCCCCGAATACAGGGGGAGGTGCTTCAGGTGCTTCTGGATCTGGAGCACAGACTGGGCATGGGCATGGGCCCCCGCCGGGGCGATGGCGCTCCCGACAAGGGGCAGCTGCTTCTGAAGACGCAAGGCAAGCCTCACACGTCGCAGGCACTTGCCTTAGTTGAATGTTGCGGCAGTGACCCCAGCATTTTGTTGGGATTCACCTAGCCCAGCCTTCAAAAACTATTCGGGCGGTCGAACATTAGAAATCAGTTCTTCAACGCTCGAGCGGAAGTCAATGTAAACAAGACACTTAGACGCTTATAGACTTGTAGAGTCAAGCAGAAGTGCCAAGGAGATCGGCATGCGGCATGGCTGTCTCGCGTGAGTGTGGACTCCTCGCTGGGGCAGCTGACCATTAATATGTCCAAGCGGCTTGGGCCAAAAACCGCCTTTTCTCCCGTTAATATACGATTTCTTGGTGATGCTAGCGGTGTCCCTCCTTCAAGGTCATGTCATAGTCCTGCATGGCTCAGGGTAGCCAGCTTCAAGTTTTCGACAGGCTGGCCCTCAACGATGAGGACATACGAGACTGGTGCCGTTGGTTTCGACACCATCTGCCGCGGCACAAACATAGCCAGAATCTGCAGTATGCTCACATCGACTTTGCAGAGAACAGGCTGGCAACTCTGCAAAGCTTTCTGTAGGCTGCTTGTGATCATGTCT